CAAATTGAGCTCATTTTAGGATATGCAGAGATTGCGGATTGAGTTTTAGAACCAATTTTTAGAGAGCATCACAGTAATTTGCAAGATTGAGGGTCAAAATTGATTTTCTTCATGAACAATATGATTGTTAATTTATAAGTAGTTGTCTCTTCTTCATAAAACACAGTTCTTTAAGGGTTGTCCCTTCTAAATACATGATTCTTTTTAATTTTTAGTCAAAAGAAAAAAAAATATCTTTCTCTTTCCATATAACAATTAGACTTTTAGAAAAGAGATAAGTTCCATTTAAAAGCTTGGAAAATGAGAAAAAATGTATCACTTGCCAGAATTAAGTATTCAAATGTGCTGTAAAACTGCATTGATCCATTCAACAGTATATATTAGAAGATCACTTGTCTAAATCATTTCTACATAGAGCATCATTTTAATATTGCATTTTAAATTATTTTAAGTACACTTAGAAGTGCCTTTCCTTCCTGAAAAGAAAACTAAGATGTTTTAAATGAATACAATGTTTCTCTGCTTTTTAAACCAGTCAATAATAATGTTTTAAGCACTTCAAATCATTGTCCCATTATTGTTCTTAAATCAGGAAACTAACAGACATCAATTATAGATTTTTTCCTAAATTAATTTTTAGAATGAAAGAGGTTTTGAAATTGTGACTATGCATACACAGTTAAAGGAAGAATGATCTCCTCATAAAAGAAACAGTCTCAGAAATATTAGCAAAGATATTTTTTGAGCAGGCTAGGAAGTTATTGTTTACTGGATGATTTAATTAATTATCGAAGCTAATAATGGCGTTTCTTGAAGAGGACCAGTTTGTTGAATGATCATCTAAAATCAAATAATATGAATTAGTGGAAAAAGGATGCTCCAAATATTGTGGAGAAATGTATAATAATGCACAGTTACAGGAAGAATTAATTAATTATCTAAGATTCAGTTTTGGAAATGTCAATGAAGGACAATCTCAAGGTCACCAAGATGAAGGTCACCACTGTATCTTGATCCTTATAATGTTTATCTCGGCTAATTATGATGATATTTGAATTCAGTTTCCAAACTGAAATAATTTTTTGGTTTTTACTATTAATGTAATTTTTTGACAGTTGCTGATGAGAGTAGTGAGGAGTTCTACGAGCCAGTGGGTCGACAGTCCAGTCCCAGTGACCCCCGGTCCTCGACCATTAACAGCGCATTATCCTGGGGGTCAGATTTCAGCAGGGAGAGCTCTGAGGAGGAAGAAAATGGTCAGTGTCCATTAAAAAAAGTAATGATGTGAATTTATATTGATCGGAATCATCTGTATATTAATTTACTTGACAGCAGTTGTGTTTTATTTATAAATATTTATACCCCCCTTCGAGGAACGGAGGCTATTGCATTGCTGCTGCCTGTCAGTTGGTCTGTTGGTCCACCAATTTTCTGTTCATTATAGATTGCACATAATGAAATGAAATGTGGTAAAGAGATTTATCATAAGAATATCATAGGCAAGTTCTGTTTTGGGTATGATTGAGCCAATTTTGACAGAGTTATGCCCCTTAGACTTAGAAAAATTCCAATTATTTGCAGTTTTCGTTCATTTTCTTGCAGAGGTTGCACATGCTTTAATGAAATTTTGTATACAGATTTATTATATAAATATCTAAATCAAGTTCTGTTTTGGGTAAAATTGAGCAATTTGGAACAGAGTTATGCCCCTTGGACTTTGAAAAATTCCAATAATTTTGGGGGAGGGAGAGCAAAAGTGTTTTCCAAACATCTCTTGTTTTATTTAAAATTTAGTAAAATTAATTAAAAGCATAGTTTTATTCTGACAAATACATGTAACTATATATTGACTTATCATTGAGATTCAAGGAAGAACACTTAATATTGGTGGGAAAAGTTAAAATTCTGTACTGTGATACTCAGGTTATCATAAAGATATATCATAAAAAATGCATCTTACAACAGTTAACTTCACAACTTTCGAGATCTGAGCCATCAGGCCATATAAGTTACATGTACCACAAAGCATCCTCTGAAGAAGGGAAATAAAATCTGTCCAAATGTAGTTCAATAAATGTCTTTTTGGAAGGGGAGAGTGTTTTGTCAACATAAGTTATTACTGATTGCCTGTTATTTATAATTTGTACTTAATTAAATTTACAGGGACATTGGAGTACCCCGATAAACCACTTCCCCCACTTCCTGACCCCTCCAAGTTACGACGAGCTTCACCCGAGGAGGAGTGTCCAGTCAAACCTGTCAACATAAACCTAGAGAAACACCCACCGCCTTGTCTCCCACCCTCCCCAGAGGGACTGACAAAGGAACAGGTAATAAATAGGACTGATGTCACAAGAGATCTAGAAAAACACCCACCCCCTTGTCTCCCACCCTCCCCAGAGGAGCTGACAAAGGAACAGGTAATAAATACAGGAGTAATCACTTCAGAAGAGATCTAGAAACCCCCCCCCCCCTCGTGTACCACCCTCCCCAGAGGGGCTGACAAAGGAACAGGTAATAAACATGATAAATAGGACTGAAAAAGGTACAGGTTAAAACAAAGGGGTAATCATATCAGAAGAGATCTAGAAAAACACCCACCCCCTTGTCTCCCATCCTCCCCAGAGGAGCTGACAAAGGAACAGGTAATGAATAGAACTGAAAAAGGATCACGAAGCATACCTTCTCCCTTGTCTCCCACCCTCCCTAGAGGGGCTGATAAGGGAATAGGTATTATATAGGACTTATAATGTCACAAGTTAAGAATACCCGTCCCCTTGTCTCCCTCCCTCCCCAGAGGGACTGACAATGGAAGAGGTAATGAATAGGACTGATAATGTCTGAAGAGGGTTTAACACATAAGCTCAGATAATTTTGATTTCAAAGTTGACACCTTTGGGTATCAAAGAAAAATCAAATGTCATTTATGACATGTCTCCAGAAGGTCCGAAAAAAGATTTAATTAGTGTTTGTGAGGGACTTACTGTAGATTCCTTATTTTTGGTGAGTACTTATTATCTCAAATGTGCTCTTCAGCAGCAAATCGCAAGAATAATTATTTGCGAATGAACGCTTGATCATGAGATTTTACATAGATTTCAGCACAAAAAAAATAAAGGCGAGTAATTTTATTTCGCATGCGGTGCTTCTTGCGAAATTACACGATAATTAATTCCACATGTATATTTAGGAATTTACTGTATACAACCATTCTTTCTTCACCTGGAGATCCTAATCACTAGTACACTAAAAAAAGATATATGAACATATTTAAGGTTTTACATAAATCATTGCAAACCTATAAAAATTTTAAAGTCGCAAACTGTTTTGTTTTTTTTTTTAAACAAATTATTATAAAAGTACATAATAGTCAATCCATCAATACAAGCTATATATGTGTGTGATGTGTGATGTGAATAAACAAATATTGAAATAAATGTAAACACCCTTACAACAAATAAGGAAGTTTAATGGTTAAAATATGTTCAATTATAAATAATTTACAAATTCGTCAAACTATGCAATATGTTCTCTTATTGCAACCTACAGTCAAACCTCATTATCTCAAACACCAGGAGACCAAGAGAAAAAAGGGTTAAATACCTGAAGAATAGGTGGGTGATGGTATTTAAAATACTTGACTCTTTTTCAACTTTTGCTAAAATTATATCATTGCATACATTTAATGCAGATAAACATCTTCACTGCTCAGTTTGATGAAGTTAGGAAGTCAGGAGTGAGTATAAATCAATATACCCTGTATTGTGATATTCAATAATCCAAAAAGCTATCTCACATAGAGCCAAGAGTATTTAGTGGATTTACACGAGCCATATCTGGTCATATGGCATCATTTTTGCCATGCTTTTAACTAAGTCTACACAATGACAGAATGCTTAAAAAGATCATTCTTTAGGTACTGGTCACATGGGCAGTTCCACAACATTTTATTAAAAGATAGAGAATGGGAATTTTATTTTAATACTGTAGACTGCTCTAGAATTTTTTTTCAATGAATCATTTAGGATAATCTAAAAAAAAAAAAAAAGATGCTAGCTAAAGTATCTATGGGTAACTTCACATGACCATTGCTTTTATATAAATATAGCCCTTTGATGAGGTCGATCCATAGATATTTCGACTTCACAGAAAAGCATATCGACCGAGCACATAGAACGATTTTCATTGGCTAAAATTTTCGATCATGAACTAATCATAATCAGTAAAACAAATCTTGGATTTTCCCTTTTCTCTTCTTAGTAACTCAAGTCTTTATTGGCAAAATATAATTTAACACGTGAAATACACCAAACCAATCAATTTTATTGAATTACACAATAAAAATAATATTGTTTAATAATGATTATTGTATATTCATTATATTAGATGTATCCCAGGCATAGATAAAGGCTTTTATTACTGATTTGCCATGCTTTTCATGTAAATGTGATGAATTTAACAATGTCTTTGACTAAGTAAATGTAGAAACAAATATATGTAACTTGTCAATATATCAGCAAATCAGTACCATGTATACACCCATACAAAACTCTAGTCTCTGTAAGCTAGTTCAGGCTGCTAATTAAAGAACAGATATGATAATACTTTTATTGAACAGAATGGCAGTAACTTTAGATCTATTTCCATAAAAAGATTTCTTTAAATTTTTTTATTTACAGGAGAAGAAAGCTCACGTGGTGAGGAACATTATAGACAGTGAGAAATCCTACATGGATTCACTCAGTAGAATTGTCAATGTAAGTATCTCATCTCAATGGAAGTTTGTTGAAATTAAAACTGTAAGCACTTCTGTTCCTACATGAATTAAAAAGACCATGACATTTTATTATGCTGGACCTTGTGCCATAAATACTTGATTGTAAACTGTGAATTCAATTACAAATTACAATATCATGAAAAAGATTCAAGATCTTTCATTATGTATTTCCTTTACATATTTTACCAAAGTGCTGATCAATATTAAAGTCAGTTTTATGTTAGTTTAATAAAATCTCCTAACTAATGATACATAATTATCCACCCAATAGGACTACAAGAGTGATATCCTGTTCAAATATAACCTGGACAAAGAGTGTGTTCGAGTGGTTTTCTCAAAAGCCCAGGAAATTCTCCATCACCATATGATGTTCCAGATAGAGTTGGCAGAAAGTGTATCTAAATGGTACACGGAGGAGAAAATTGGGGGAATATTCACAGCTTCAGTAAGGAGAAATCAGAGATTTATAACATTTGTAAAATGTTGCAATTGTTGTAGTATGCAATAGCAAATACATAGAATAGTTGACTTTTATCAAGTGATGCAAACATATTGCTGCTGATAGGTTTTATGTACATCATTACATGTAAATATTTATGCTTTACACTTTGACACTGGATAGATGCATTGGGTCATCTTGATAAAATAAAAAGTCATGGAACAGAAGGACTAATCTAAATTATGAATAAGAAATATTTTTTATTGATCTCGCACAAGCATTTGTCATCTATCTATGTACCTTATGATATGTGCATTTGCCCAACACGAAAATGGACTGACACATATAACTTTTGTCATATTCAATGCTGAAATATGAAGAATTTTGTTGTATTTTTCAATACAGAAAATAAATTTAAATTTCTACAATGAAAAGATCGTTTTTGATATTGCCTGTTATTTTTTGACATTTTTTTTTACATGCCATGCCCCTTTAGTTTTCTAGAGACATGGTTGTGAATGTGTACAGTGAATATGTGAATAACTTTGCTATGACTATGGAGGAAATTAAGGCAGCTCAAGTATCTAAGCCAGGCTTAGAAGAATTCCTTAATGTAAGTGCAATTCTTACTGCATTTCTTAATGTTGTGTGAATTAAGAAGATAATCTCACTTATAACCCAAAAGTAATAATTTATCAGATTAATTTCAAGGTTTGACAAGAAAATTTTTATCTAAACTGAATTCTAGTATGATACAAATTACCAGTATATTTTCAGTAGTTAATTTTGATATTTTTCTCCTTCTACAGAACATGTCAAAGAGAAGTGTGGACCGCTTAAACCTGTTTGGTCTGATGGTAAAACCAATCCAAAGGTTTCCTCAGTTCATCATGCTCATTAAGGTAAGCGTTAAAGTACCAGTATAGGACAACTGATTAGGTTAAGAGAATATGACTAATGAAGGTCACAGTAAGACATTGGATGAGGGCTTAAGTATGACAACTGACAAAGGGTAAGAAAGACAACTAATAAAGGTAACACAACTGTTGAAGGTTAATGTGAGACACATGAACAAGATCAGGGTTGTATATTTTATGAAAAAAAATCAATTCATAATAATAACTTTAAAATTATTAACAGGATTTGTTGAAGTATACCCCACACCACCATCATGACCGGTCCTCTCTCCAGACAGCTCTGACAGATCTGGAGAATGTCACACACATCCTTAATGAGCGGAAGCGGGAGTCTGAGGAACTCTTCCAGGCCAAAAAACTACAAAAGGTCCTTAACTTTAAGGTTCCTGGAGAGAAACAGCCGCGTCTTGTCAGACAAGATGACATGGAGGAAATGGTAAGGATTATTTTTTTTAACTTTCTTTAATTGCAATGGGATTTTCTTCATAGTTTTGACAGTTTTAAAAAAGATCAAATTCAGAGGTTGTTGCCATGGAAACAATCTCATTAGCACATATCAAATTTAATGATTTTTAAATAGAATTATAAATTCATTTGTGTATTTATATATTCAGAAAAAAAGGCAAATGGATACAAGGTCCATCATTCCTTTATTTACTTTTTCAAGAAGAAATTTAACTTACAAGTAAAAATGCACATAATTTCAGTATACCTCTCAGGGCTAAATTAGAAAGAAATCACCTTTGAATTTTACACAACAGTGAAAAAAAATATAATCATGTCCCAGTGAGAGTTACCTCTCTTAACACAGGGGCAGTGAACCTTAATGATAAATTATAAAAATAGCTATAAATACTTTGTACGGTATTTTATAGAGCCAAGACAGAAGTGTTGCCACTAAGGTCAGGAAGCTCTACCTACTGGATGACTGCATTATCTGCTGCTCTGTTCAGGGGTTGGTTTCTTTTAGATATTTTGACTTTTTTTTATTTGTGTGTCATTTTACACCAGGCTCAAGAAATCTTTAAGCATGGATATTTATGCAGTTTATGAATTATTTGAGTCAAAAACTGTGAAGAATTATACATGTAAATACAGGGACTAGTATTACCTTAATCATAACCAAATAAAATGTTTCTAAAATATAAGATCATGAGGATATTTCTGAACATTAAAATGAAAAATTATTTCAGAATTTACTGTTTAACTTTTTAATTAGAGGTATTATTTATGAACCATCTTAATTATACCCCCTGCAAACAAAGTTTGGGGGGTATATAGGAATCACTGTGTCCGTCTGTCTTTCTAGCTGTCCGTCCGTCTGTCCGTCCGTCTAGCTGTCCGTCTGTGCAATCGTGTCTGGTCCATATCTTTCTTACGGAGGGACATTAGAATCTACTACTCCACACAAAGATTGCCCATGACCCAAGGGTGTGTCATGACCTTGACCCAAGGTCATTTGGGGAACTTCAAGGTCACTGGAAGAAAAATTTCATTATTTGTGTCCGGTCAATATCTTTCTTATGAATCAACTTGGTAGGTTCTCATTTCACACAAAGATTGCCCATTACCCAAGGGTGTGTCATGACCTTGACCCAAGGTCATTTGGGGAACTTCAAGGTCACTGGAAGAAAAAATTCATAATTCGTGTCCGGTCCATATCCTTCTTATGGATAAACTTGGTAGGTTCTCATTTCACACAAAGATTGCCCATGACCCAAGGGTGTGTCTTGACTTTGACCCAAGGTCATTTGGGGAACTTCAAGGTCACTGGAAGAAAAATTTCATAATTCGTGTCCGGTCCATATCTTTCTTATGGATAAACTTGGTAGATTCTCATTTCACACAAAGATTGCCCATGACCTAAGGGTGTGTTGACCTTGACCCAAGGTCATTTGGGGAACTTTAAGGTCACTGGAAGAAAAATTTCTTAATTCCTGTCCGGTCTATATCTTTCTTATGGATAAACTTGGTAGGTTCTCATTTCACACAAAGATTGCCCATGACCCAAGGGTGTGTCATGACCTTGACCCAAGGTCATTTGGTGAACTTCAAGGTCACTGGAAGAAAAATTTCATAATTCGTGTCCGGTCTATATCTTTCTTATGGATAAACTTGGTAGGTTCTCATTTCACACAAAGATTGCTCATGACCCAAGGGTGTGTCATGACCTTGACCAAAGGTCATTTGGGGAATTTTAAGGTCACTGGAAGAAAAATTTCATAATCCATGTTTGATACGTATCTTTCTTATGGAAAAATTTACTTCTGAAAAACCCAGCGGGGGGTATTTTGTCCCGTTTGGACAGTTCTAGTTATATTTTTGATTTACAGGAATAATCAGAAAGTGAAGTGGATGAAACCTATACATGAATTGGAATTAAAGGATACTGCTATCACTCCTGACATGCAAAGTATTTTGAGAGTCAACTCCAACAAATTCAGTATTCAGACACCTGTTGTAGGTAAGTCAATAACAAATTCAGTCAACAAACATCTGTTGTTGGTAGATGTTTCTAATTCTTTCCCCATTTATTATCTAATTCTTCCCCCTTCTGACCCACCCATGTTGTTTTTACATAAATTTATCGACAAACAATAAAGCTGAGGGCAAATATATTGTGTATACGTCATCAATTTGAGTATTACAACACAAAGATAAAAAAAGGAAGGGAAAATCTGTTGTCTAATAATAGCACTCAGCCCTACTTTACAAAACATTTGAGAAAACGTGACGCTATTTGTGCAGAAGTGGCGAATAAAATATGTCCTTTGACTGTAAAACTATTTATACGTTTTACATGTATGCATTTTCTCTAAAATTTATTGATTAGGCTGAAGTAATTTTTAATGATGTTAATTTGCACTATATATTCTGCAGAGTGTAAAGAGGATGACCTTTTTAACCTTCACAGTGACATCAGTGATATGATGCATGATGTGACCGTCCTTGGACAAATCAGCACATTGGTCAACTCTCTCAAACTCTCCTACGAGGTACTGGAAAATATTACTCTTAGCCTTTTCAAATTCTGTGCAATTTCTGGCCATTATATCTTTAAAAAAAATTCTATCAATATGTACATAAGACTTGTTCCGTATTATTTATTTCTCATTCTTATTTTATACAAAGAAGAAACTTTATTACCCAGTTTGAAATATGTGTACTATACTGATGAAATAATTGTCTTGGTGATCTATATTAGTGTATAACAGAGGAGAAAATTCAAGAAGCCAAGGCAGATCTACAGTTAAAAATCCAGGCCAAAGACCAACAACTCCAAGTCCTCAATAGTTCCACTATCACCCTACAGGACGCCAAGTATGGAGGGTAAGTAAAACACTACGGACAGACATACAGTCAAACTAAAGACCAACAACTCCAAGTTCTCAATAGTTCCACTATCACCTTACAGGACGCCAAGTATGGTGGGTAAGTAAAACACTACGGACAGACATACAGTCAAACTAAAGACCAACAACTCCAAGTTCTCAATAGTTCTACTATCACCCAGCAGGACGCCAAGTATGGTGGGTAAGTAGAACAATACTGACAGACACACAGCCAATTACTAGGGTTAAGATTCTGTTGAATGGTTGTGTATTGAAATTCATTAATAAGTGATAATTTGCATTACTTGACAGGAAAGAGTATAGGAGTATTTTCCAAACCACTTCACCAGAAATAAAACAGGAATGGAGCATTGACTTTATCATGACAAAACTTACTAAAGGTATGTAGTATCAAATCATTGTATGCTTCCATTTCGGAATAGGATCAGGCATATATTGTGATATTGTGTAGAAAATTCATTAATTATATACAATATACATATATGTATGTAAATTTCTTGAAGATCTGATTGGATGTAATAAATCTATTTTTAGACCCACTGAACAATCCCAGCTGGTTCATGTCAGGTGTATCTGGGAAACCAAAATCTATTCACCAACCAGCCATGTATGTCAAGCACATGTCTGTAGACCTGCCCAAACACTTCACCAAGGTATCTACATCACACTGTAATCAATCAAACAATAATATTATATCAGATATTTCTATTTTACTTTAGTTGAGGCATTAGATATGTTCAAGAGTGCTAAATGCATTTTCTGATTCAATTCATCATCCTCTATTGGATGAAACTAATTGAAAGTTATTGTAAAAGGCACATTATCGGAAAGTTCTTTCTAATCAAGGCTTGTTCACAGATTTAGTTGATTTATGTAACTCTTTCTTGGGGGAGATATGTTTCAATGCAGTCGGTCTTGTTGATATTCAATAAGGATCTGAAGAAAAATTATTGTTTTCTACCAGGTAAAGTGTGCTGTCCCTGTATACCTGTCTGATGGGGGAGGTAACTCTGACAACAGTTTGCAGCACCTTTGGGTTGTCACAACGTCAGAAACTCGGGCGCAGGTCTCCCTGGTGTCGGTCCAGACCACTAGACTCGCTCTTATTGAGTCCTTCAAGGCAGCAGACACTGAGATCGTTACCGTGGAAACAGTCCCAGCCATCTCACTGACAGAACAAGATGAACCCTTTGTAGAGGACACAATTTGGATGTCCACTGAAAAATGCGAGTGAGTAGACGCTAGAGTAGATGGTGGACTGATTAAAGTGGCTTATTTGATCAGTTTTATTTTAGTAGTATGTTCCTTGTTCTTTGTAAGGGACATGATATTGTTAAGTGACCTAAGTCACTCTTATGGCCCATTACTATGTCTTTTGTTTTGTTGGTAAAACTTCTATCTGCATCTTTAGAAAATTGTTAGTATGATTATGGTAGACAATTATCTCTCATAAGAAAAATGTAAATTCCCAGTTCCCTGGTACCAGAGTAACCCCGGGATGTTGCTATGTTGAGAAACTCCACAATTCTCAGAAGTCTTTCAGGGTCTCTTTATGACAGTGTATATCAAATTAAAGGTTGCTGACACCACCAATGATTTCTTGTACATCAACTCTTTTAAGGATACTGGTATACAGTCTGTTGGATGAGAATGGAGTGAGAAATTTTACCACTGGTGGACGAAAACCTCGCAGTAAATTCTACTGTCATGGCATTGCCGTGGCAATGAAATACGCAGATGACAGAGTGTTTGTTGGACTCAGGGACGGAAAACTAATTATTTATGACAGAGACGATAGTAAGTCATGATTTCATGGAAGAAGTGGTGATTAACATAACCTCATTAAAATGGACATATATACAGTAAGCCAAGGTTTGCAATCTTATACTCATGTTTTTTCTCTCTTCAGCAACTGGGAAGTGGAAAGTGGAAGCCCCCAGTATAGTAGAGATAGGATGTGACATGCCCATCTCCTGTATCATAGCTATAGAGGATGAAATATGGGTGGCATGTAGCGACACAATTTACATCATTCCGGTGGACGAAAATCAGTTCAAGGTAATGTTTAATGTTCATTACCGCAAAATTTAATATAGCAGTTGCTTATTGTATTCAGAAATTCTTATTTGCATTCTTTTTGTATCAGTACTCAGTTAAACATTGCTATAGCCAGCCAATGTAGGCAAAAAAAATAAATATTTATGTCTCTTTAAAAGAATCAGCTAGTTTCTTATTAGGCCTAATTTGTACTTAATATTAAAAAATATATAATTGTTATAGCATGGTTTTTGCAATAAGCTTGTTTATCATATTTATTAAGCATCAATACTGTACCATGGATGTAGCTACAGTTTTACTAGTAATTTATAAACTGGATTTATATTGTTTGTTTTTTTTTAGCTCTTCTGAGCCAAAGGCTCAAAGAGCTAATGCTATGGCCATTTGTGCGGTGTGCGTCGTGCGGTGTGCGTTAACTTTTTAGAATATGGGCCATAACTCAAGAACCCCTTGGCCAATCAGTGTCAAATTTGTCACAGGGTATCCTTGGCCCAAGGGCTACCATTTATACTAAAATAAGGGTTGGGACCCTGAATCAAGGGGAGATAATCAGGAAAACAAAACAAAAAATACTGGTTGCTAAAAAATCTTCTTCTCCAGAACCACCAGGCAGATTTTCACCAAACTTACATACAAGGATCAGGATTTGTTGAAGATTTAAAATTGTTCAAGGCATGACCCTGGGGCAAAGGGCGTGGTCTCAAGGTCACTTTAAAGTTGACCTAAATTTACAATTGATAAAAATGTTCATATTTTGCTTACTATAAGGACTAGGATCATCAAATCTTGTAAGTTGATGCATCTTAGGACTTCACATCATGTTAACTCAAAAGTAGGTCACGGTGACCTACTTTTTAAATTTTGCGGGCATTTGTTTTCAAATTGATTTAAAGGCATATTTTGGATACTTTAAGGCCTATGATCATCAAACTTAGTCAGTTGATGCATCTTGGGTCCTTAAACAATGTCAACTTAAAAGTAGGTCACCGTGACCTACTTTTTGAACTTTATGACTTATCCTTTTCAAAACATTTAATCCCATTATTTCAGGCACTGAAAGGGTTAGAATCATCAAATCTTGTAAGTTGCTGCATCATGGGACCTTAAAACATATTTAAGAAAAAGTAGGTCACAGTGACCTACTTTTAGAATTTTGCAGGCATTTGTTTTCAAATTGTTTAAAAGGCATATTTTGATTACCTTCAAACCTATGATCATCAAACTTGGTCAGGAGATGCATCTTGGGACTCTGAAAAATGTCGACCAAAATGTAGGTCAGGGTGACCTACTTTCGACATTTTATGGCTATATTTAAGTATCTTAGGTATTTATTGGCTTAGAATCATCAAACTTTGTGAGTTGATGCATCTTGGATTTTCGGATAGTGACGACCAAAATTTAGGTCACAGTGACCTACTTTCGACATTTTATGGCTATATTTAAGTATCTCTGGTACTTATTGGCTTAGAATCATCAAACTTTGTCAGTTGATGCACCTTGGGTTTTCGGAGAATGTCGACCAAAAAGTAGGTCACGGTGACCTACTTTTGACATTTTATGGCTATATTTAAGTATCTCTAGTACTTATTGGTTTAGAATCATCATACTTTGTCAGTTGATGCATCTTTGGTTTTCGGAGAATTTCGACATAAAAGTAGGTCATGGTGACCTACTTTTTAATATCTCAGGTATTTATTGGCTTAGAATTATCAAACTTGGTGCAGATACATCTTGGGACTCTAAAAAATTTCAACCAAAATGTAGGTCAGGATGACCTACTTTCGACATTTTATGGCTATATTTAAGTATTCTCTGGTACTTATTGGCTTAGAATCATCAAACTTTGTCAGTTGATGCATCTTGGGTTTTCAGAGAATGTCGACCAAAAAGTAGGTCACGATGACCTACTTTTTGACATTTTATGGCTATATTTATGTATCTCTAATACTTATCGATTTAGAATCATCATACTTTGTCAGTTGATGCATCTTGGATTTTCGGAGAATGTCGACCTAAAAGTAGGTCATGGTGACCTACTTTTGAATATCTCAGGTATTTATTGGCTTAGAATTATTAAACTTGGTCAGCAGATGCATCTTGGGACTCTAAAAAATGTCAACCAAAATGTAGGTCACGATGACCTACTTTCGACATTTTATGGCTATATTTAAGTATCTCTGGTACTTATTGGTTTAGAATCATCATACTTTGTCAGTTGATGCATCTTGGGTTTTCTGAGAATGTTGACCAAAGAGTAGGTCACAGTGACCTACTTTTTAATATCTCAGGTATTTATTGGCTTAGAATTATCAAACTTGGTCAGCAGATGCATCTTGGGACTCTGAAAAATGTCAACTAAAATGTAGGTCACAATGACCTACTTTCGACATTTTATGGCTATATTTAAGTATCTTAGGTATTTATTGGCTTAGAATAATCAAACTTTGTCACTTGATGCATTTTGTGATTTCCAAGAATGTAGACAAAAAAGTAGTTCTAATTGGCTAAGAATCATCAAACTTTGTCAGGTGATGCAACTTGGGTCTTTAGTAGGATACTTATGGTTAGAGGCTTCAAATACAAGTGATAGGTTGTACAATTTATCAGAAGAGCGATTCAAGGCCCTTGGGCCTCTTGTTTACATAAACATAGCATTGGTCCAAATTTAGTTTTCTTTGAATGCATGCTACAATGTATATACACATTTTAAATGTTTTGAAATGTTTTGTGATATTTTTGGATTTTCACTTTTAAATACTGTAGAAGTATTTTTTTCCAGGGGGTCATAATTCCGCGGAATCTCAATTTCTGTTTAATCCGCGTGTAGAAATTTACGCGGATTTCCTAGACTGTCACTATATGTCTTGCAATTATATTAATATTTTTCGTGGAAAATTTGTGACTGCGTACATAGCTTAAATTTATACCACGCGGAAAAATGTACGCCTACAGTATACATATATACACTGTACATACTTGCAATATGATTACTGCTGTTTATTATAGTATGCATGCATTTACAATTTTCCAATTAATAAGGCAATTTATTTATTTTAATTTCTATCAGATTTGTTTTATTTTTTTAGTGTTATAGATCATATTGGATTCAGACAACAGATAGGTTAAAATGCATGTTAAAAAAGCCAGTGAAACCATATAAAAACCTACTTCATATAGCAAATACATTAGCAAACATGAAGAAACAAAATATATATTCCTTGTAGAACAAGAGCTGTCACTTTGTATAACAAGAATTCAGAACGAAATAGAATACAGACATTTTACTCAGACTTGTTGATTTGATATTGCACCTTTACAGAACAGAAAACAATTTTTACAATGGGTGAGGGATATATTTTATTATTAATATTCATACTTCACTTTAAAATCAAATTACTTTTGTCATCAAGCTCAAAAACTGCTTTTTCGCTTCTTAATTCTCTTCCCTCTAAATTATATTAATGGAGCGTAATGACAACCGATGTTTTAGCTTCTGCTCATAATGCTTGCTTCTCATTAACTCTTCATAAATCACCATTTCACATTGCATGTACAGTCTCTACAATGATTTTCTCTTTGTAATTAGCTCACCTGAGCCGAAGGTTCAAGTGAGCTTTTTTGATTGAAGTTTGTCCAATGTCTGTCATTTTCTGCATTGTTGTTGGTGTTGGTACAAACATTTCACTTTTTAGCTCACCTGAGCCGAAGGCTCAAGTGAGTTTTTCTGATCACATTTTGTCTGTTGTCCGTCTGTCCGTCCGTCTGTAAACTTTTCACATTTTTGACTTTTTCTCAAGAACCAATAGGCCAATTTTAACCGAACTTGGTACAAAGCATCCTTGGATAAAGGGGAGTTTAAATCATCAAAATGAAGGGCCAAGTCCCCTTACAAGGGGAGATAATCAAGAAAAGACAAAAATAGGGTGGGGTCATTAAAAAATCTTCTTCTCAAGAACCACTGGGCCAGGAAAGCTGAAACTTATGTGGAAGCATCCTCGGGTAGTGTAGATATTAAATTGTTAAAATCATGAACCCCAGGGTTTGGACAGGGCCACAATAGGGAATCCAAGTTTTACATAGAAATATATAGAAAAAATCTCTAAAAATTTTCTTTTCAAGAACCACAGGGCCAGGAAAGCTAAAACTGAAGTGAAAGCATTCTTGGGTAGTGTAGATATTAAATTGTTAAAATCATGACCCCCGGGGTAGGGCGGGGCCACAATAGGGAATCCAAGTTTTACATAGAAATATATAGAACAAATCTCTAAAAATCTTCTTCTCAAGAACCTGACTGGGCCAGGAAAGCTGAAACTTATATGGAAGCATCCTTCGGTAGTGTAGATATAAATTGTTAAAATCATGACCCCCAGGGGTAGGGCGGGGCCACAACAGGGAATCCAAGTTTTACATAGAAATATATAGAACAAATCTCTAAAAATCATCTTCTCAAGAACCACTGGGCCAGGAAAGCTGAAACTTCTATGGAAGCATCCTTGGGTAGTGTAGATATTAAATTGTTAAAATCATGACCCCCTGGGGTAGGGCGGGGCCACAATAGGGAATCCAAGTTTTACATAGAAATATATAGAACAAATCTTTAAAAATCATCTTCTCAAGAACCACTGGGCCAGGAAAGCTGAATCTTATGTGGAAGCATCCTTGGGTAGTGTAGATATTAAATTGTTAAAATCATGACCCCCGGGGGTAGGGCGGGGGAATCCAAATTTTACATAGAGATATATAGAACAAATCTTTTAGGAATCTTCTTCTCAAAAATCACTGGGCCAGGAAAGCTGAAACTTATGTAGAAGCATCCTGGGGTATAGTGTAGATTCTAAAGTTATAAGCACGAGAGATATAGCAAGACGGTAAATCTGGTCAAGAACTGCATTACTCAATTTACTCAGGTGAGCGATGTGGCCCATGGGCCTCTTGTTCATCTTCTCCTCTAGAGCCACTTGGCCAATTTCACTCAAACTTGGAAAGAAGTATCCATGGGCAAAAGGATTCAATTTTTTTATTCCCTCCTTTAAAGAATGGAGACAAATTGCTTTGTTGCTCTCTGTTGGTCGGTCTGTCGGTCCACCATCAGTGTCTGTTCATTTTCTTTGCAGGGGTTGCACACTCTGAAATAAAATCTTGTATACAAATTTATCATAAGAATTTCTAGGTCAAGTTCTGTTTTGGGTAAGATCAAGCAATTTTAGAGTAATTTCCCTTGGACTTGGAAAATTTCAATTATTTGCAGTTTCAATTCATTTTCCTTTCATGTTTTTTTTTTTGGGGGGGGGGATGGGGTTGAAAGACCAAACTTGCCTGGTTGTTGCATGTAGAGATGTGCACTATCAGAACATTCATTTGATGAGAGATATCCGTTCACTTATAAATAAAATTCAGAAAGGTGAGCTTTGTAATCTTTGACTACCTATGTTTTCAAAATGAATTATTTTCTTTTCTTCATGAAAATTTCAAAGTAGACTGTGATTAGATGACGTTAATTCCAGTGGACCTTCATTGTATCTAATTTCTATTTATACTTGTAAACCTTTACTGATACAGGACCAGCTGGTATGTGATGGGGGCGCTGTGATATCAGAAATGGTCAGGTCAGGTTGTGGCCTGTGGATGTCCTTCAAGGACAAATCTTACGTCCGACTTTACCACATCGAGGCCAAGGAGAACCTTCAGGAAATTAACATTGGGTCCACTGTGGACAGAATGATGTCAGGTAAGAATGGTTGGTTGCTAGATTTTTTAAGACATTTTTTTTAGATTAAGAAATAAATTGTTGTACAATGTACAAATATTTGAATAATTAGTAATTTTTTTTATAAAGGTCATGTAGATTTAGTTTCGTAAGAGCATTCTTTTTTGTTTTATTTTTCATTTTACAGTAAGATTAAGATTAAAGTGTATTTGCAGAGAGCAAATATAGTTCTGAGGAGAAAATTCCCAAGACTACAACTGTGACCAGTTTGATGGCTAGCCGGGGGTTACTGTGGGTGGGGACAAGCCTCGGTATTGTATGTTCCCTCCCCTTACCACGGCTACGTGATGGGGTACCTCTGATCAAAGGCCGACCAGATATATCACTTCATTCTCACAATGGACCAGTGCAGTTCCTTATTCCCATTTACTGCGGGACTGTAAACCTGTGGCAGAGAGCCCAGGGTCTACAGTCCACAGAATCTCTGGCGTGGAGAGAGAACGCCACGAGTGTGAGGAGACGCAAAGGAAGCAGGGATTCTGTTGATGAAGACATTCCAAAACAAGACAAAGAAGATGAACAAGAGATACCTGAGGGCAAAGCAAATGGACCCCAGGTCACCAAAATTGAAAATAATTTTGACATTGGAAGCAATGGTCTCGATAGGCGAAAATCAAAGTCAGCTGAAGACTTAGTTTCAAGATCCCCTGTGGCAGATTTTTTAAAATCGGAAAACATTCAGAGCAGAGCTTTGACACTAAGAACGGAATTAATGCAGAAGTTGGCCAAAAGAAACCTTGCTACCCCAGATACCAGCTCTCAGGGGGATGAAAACGAAATTAGAATGTACTATGGCGATTTAATGTCAAATGAGGATTATAGAAAAGAACAAGCACCATTAAAACGTGACATTTCACCACAAGGAAATCCCAAACTACGTAAAGATGAAAAATCAGAGACCGGTAAACCAGTAAATCTAAAGAAAAGAGTCTCAGAAAACTTTAAAAACTTCAAAAGAAGTATTACTCAGAGGCCGTCTTTTCGAGCTCACGGTAGCGAGCATGCGAGTGCGGTGTACGAGACGCTGAGGAGGAGGAACTGTAACGCGGTGGTGGTGGTGAGCGGTGGCGACGGCTACATAGATTGGAGGACCGCCACCCAGACACACAAAATACACAGCACCGAGGCTTCCATGATGCTGTGGATTTACAAGTTCTGAGAAATCGACCATTGTGTACTAGTCTACTGGAGCCAGATTTTCATTTTCAGCGCTGAATGATATATTTTGTTTCACTTCAAGTATTTAATGGGAGATTAATGGAGAAACCAGTGGAGTCTATTTATGAAATTTACAAGTTTATGATATATTTTGTTTCACTTCAAGTATTTAATGGGAGATTAATGGAGAAACCAGTGGAGCCTATTTATGAAATTTACAAGTTTTATGTTTGACATTCTGAACAATTAATTTTAATTAATGAGTTTACATCCAGTAGTTTCTAGAGGATCACATTGTGGTAGTCAGTGTTCACCAGATTTGTTCATGAGTGAAGTCTTACTTGACGATTGTATTGTGGAAAGCTCTGCTTGAGCCAAAGGCTCAAAGAGCTCAAAGAGCTAATGCTGTTGCCATTTGTGCAGTGTGCATAAACCTTTTAGAATATGGGCCATAACTCTAGAACCCCTTGGCCATTGATTGTCACAGGGTATCCTTGGCCCAAATAGGTCACAGTGAATGGATTCAAGGCCCTCGGGCCTCTTGTTTATGGGACATCTTGAACTGTGTGAATGTGCAGTTAATACTATCATTATTTTTTCAAAATTACTTTTCTCTTTATTATACCCCCCGCAAACGAAGTTTGGGGGGGGGTATATAGGAATCACCTTGTCCGTCTGTCTGTGCAATCGTGTCTGGTCCATATATTTCTTACAGAGGGACATTAGAATCTACTACTCCACACAAAGATTGCCCATGACCCAAGGGTGTGTCATGACCTTGACCCAAGGTCATTTTGGGAACTTCAAGGTCACTGGAAGAAAAATTTCATAATTCGTGTCCGGTCCATATCTTTCTTGTGAATAAACTTGGTAGGTTCTCATTTAACACAAAGATTGACCATGACCCAAGGGTGTGTCATGACCTTAACCCAAGGTCATTTGGGGAACTTGAAGGTCAATGGAAGAAAAATTTCATAATTCATGTTCGGTCCATATCTTTCTTATGGATAAACTTGGTAGGTTCTCATTTCACACAAAGATTGCCCATGACCCAAGGGTGCGTCATGACCTTGACCCAAGGTCATTTGGGGAAGTTCAAGGTCATTGGAAGAAAAATTTCATAATTCGTGTCTGATCCATATCTTTCTTATGGATAAACTTGGTAGGTTGTCGTTTCACAAAACGATTGCCCATGACCTAAGGTAGTGTCATGACCTTGATCCAAGGTCATTTGGGGAAGTTCAAGGTCACTGGAAGAAAAAATTTCCTAATTCGTTTCCGGTCCATCTCTTTCTTAAGGATAAACTTGGTAGGTTCTCATTTCACACAAAGATTACCCATGACTGAAGGGTATGTCATGACCTTGACCCAAGGTCATTGGGGAAGAAAAAATTCATAATTTGTGTCCGGTCGATTTCTTTCTTATGGATAAACTTGGTAGGTTGTCATTTCACACAAAGATTGCCCATGACCCAAGGGTGTGTCATGACCTTGACCCAAGGTCATTTGGGGAAGTTCAAGGTCACTGGAAGAAAAATTTCATAATTCATGTTTGATACATATCTTTATTATGGAAAAACTTACTTCTGAAAAAACCCAGCGGGGGGTATTTTGTCACGTTTGGACAGTTCTAGTTTTGATTATGAGGCCTTGATTTTCACAGAATTTTGGAAGTTTTAATTATCTTAAAGAACCTTGGAGTATATTCTTTTTCTTGTACTCTTAGAATATTTATGAAATCCATGTATTTTTTACTATTTCCTCTTTGTAAACGTAGATGTGAAGAAATTTCTAATGGTCAGCAGTTTTCTTTGTCATGACTGTTGAACCAAATGAGATGAAAACTTAATATAAAAGGTGAAGGTCATTGGAATCAGGTCAAGATAATGGTTATACAAAGGTTAGAAAAAAGAATGAAACAGAATTGGCTACAAAAAGAATTTTCCACCTGGATTTTTGTAAACAACATGTTGACTTTTTAAAAATTTTATTTTAAAGTTTTACATCACTGAACTATGCACCTGGAAAACACCAGCAAAATATTTGGTATTCTTTATACATGTTTAATTATGCAATTTTTAAATCTATCTTATCTCAAACATGTAAGTCAACCAATTCATTTACTAATTGACCTGAAAAACATGAGTGTATTGAATTATTATTTGATGAATGAATACATGTAATTATTAAATACTTTGCTTTTTTATTTGTTAATTTAGATTTTTACACCAGTATTGTTTTTTTTCTAAACATTTTTATGATTATTTGCCATAGGCAGATTCGTTATTGTTCTTGTACATATATACCTCATTACCTGTGTATCCAACTAGATAAAAATCCACTTTTTAAAAAAAGTAATTTGATTTGCAGTAGTACTATTCTTTAAGGTTTCTTGTAATTCAAAAATTCATCCACTCATGAACTCCAACCTATGAGGAAGAAGAGATTTTCAAAATTATTTATCCTACCCAACACCATGGTCTCAAGCCACAGTTTGGAGTCAGCATATAGCTCTCTCCTACCCGTGGCTGCTTGAATCACAGGAATTATCATAATCTTGGATGTTTAAGCCTCTTTGCTGTGATGTCATGTTCAGCCAATGACAATATTTGTTTCCATCGCAATTGACATCATCAGTAAACAAAAAATTGGGTATTGAAATGTCACATCAATGTTCATTTTTCAACTTTGCTTTACTCACATTGGCCAAAATTTTAATGAGGTATGGAAAATTCTCTTTTCATTCAGCCATAACAAGAATGGGAGAGGATGGTACATTTTTGCCATGGTTTGTGACAATTACCCAACTCAGATAAAGGGTAAGAAAACTTAGATGATTTTTTGCTGATTTTTTTAGTTAATTTATACTTGATAAAATAAATCAATTATTTGATTGAAATGTAAATACATATTTATGAAAATTTCATGAGATATAAAGATGGACTTTTCAAACAAGCATTTTTTTTTCAAGAAACACTAACATTATTCATATTTTTAGAGCCATACATACCTCATATTCTGATAAGCTCAAAATTATAAAAATTGTATATGAGAATGCAGAATTAAGACATAGGTGCCTTTATCATGAAAAAAATTGTTTTTTTTTAATAAATTTTAATGCATCATATGTAGACTATTATATACAGTTAAAGCTTGGATTCAAAGTTGTTCCAGAATTTATATACTAGTATATAAATATATATATAGAGAGAGAGTGAGAGAGCGAGAGATAATTTGTGTGCAATATTCATTGTAAATATTTACAACAGGGTGTTCATATCTCTGGTGCAGAAAAAAATGTGATAATTTTATGCTAACATTTTGTACTAAACACCACATTCCTTAGATATACTTAAGCTAGATGATGAAATGTTGAAAGATAGAATTTCTTTTGTCTTCTTGAAATTGACAAACCAAGAAGTATTGGGAATGCTTGTTAACAATATTTACCTTAAAAAAATGTTTCCTAAAAATTTTTATAGACTTTTTATGTCACTTGAAACAAACAAAATACATATTTAACACTGTTATCATGTAAATTGGATGAATTTTTTTTATGTGATATGTTTTGTATACATTTGTTTGATTACAAAATGAGAATAAATTTTTAAAATGACAATTTTGTACATTGTGTGCTGTTTACACCATTCACATATTGCTTAACTTTGTGACTCATTGCTGTGACCTACAAAGTAAGCAAAACTTACAGATTGAGGAAACAGGTTTTAGATAAAACTTAATATCTGAATAGTAAACTACCATTAAGTTTTAAGGGTCATGATACCTTTAATGTGGAATTCAACAAGATGAGGCAAAAATATGGATGCCTCTAGATAAAATCTGATATATTCTGGACTTAAATCATGGCTGTGGGGAGATGACGGGCCAAAAAAAGGGGGATTAATTAATTTTTTACCATGGAATACATAGAGAAGAGCTCTTTAGAAAGTCCAAGAACATCATTAATAGCAGTTTTATTTGAATTATGAAGCTTGTTTTAAAATTAGAATTCTC